AAATTGTGATAACTTGGTGCGTTTGTCGAATACCTAAAGGACCTCACCTTTGATAATTCTATAGAATACCGTGCCACTCTAGTAAACTTCAATAATTAAATTTACACAATTTAAGCTCCTATCTTAGTTTATTGCATCAGATGCAATTAAACTTAAATACAATGCTAAAAATCCCAAACTTTCGATGGATTTCAATTCATTGCTGACTGGGCAGAAAGTGGAACAATCTTGTACTGAAAATTAGCATTAAATAAGCAGGGCTTATTCCAAAACGCCTGATAACTAGGATTCTGTATGAAAATGTTTTCCATCATGAAGTATTAAAATAAATAACCGATCACTTTGCTAATTCTAACTAATTATAAGTCCAAGTAATACCGGAATGAGAGAGATTGATACCAGAATTTGTGCTTTCTTCGAACAACTTCCAGGTAGCAAGGGTGGAAATGATACGATAATCCAAATTTATACATTGGTCAACGCTATTTTCCACTTATATCATATGTTTGAATGGGCTATTAATCGGCAGTTGACTTATGACTTCAAACTACCATGACCCCACTATATGTCATAGTACTCACCTCACCTTTTTTCTACCTTAGTGTCTGTCTCTTTTACATCTTTGAAACAGTCTTCTGTCCCCCCCCCCCCACTCTCGACTTTTTTCTCTTTGATGTCCTTTCCCTCTGTGAAGCCTGAAGTCAACTATAGGGCTAATGACAACTATCGAAACGCCTGCCATTTGATATAACTATATAAACTATGGACCATGCGTATGTACTGTTCTAAGTGAAAGATAAAACTCACTGAAATTCTCCCTAAGTTCCTTTAACAAAAAACAGAGTTACATCAACATTATTTTTTAATTATTATACGTAATAAAGTGATGAAATTGCGGCTATTCAAACAATGTTAATGAACTACATTACTAAATAAAAAAATTAATACGGGTTCGAAATGACTCAAGAATTGACGTTTACCGTTGAAATGGGGAGTTAATAGATTCAGGGTCCAGGAGGATACAGAGAGTCGAATTATCATCATAATAATCCCTCAAAAACGCCCTGACCTGAAATGACCTTTGCAACTTTTAATAAATGCATTGTAACTCCAAAATATCGATGCCTTGTGCACTTTGGTTGTTCAAAAGGTAGAGCTACAGGATTTGCTATTTGAGAATTCGACGTTTGAAATGACGGGTCATGGTCTAACGTCAGAGAGGTGATAAAATCACAATCCCAGAACGCCAATACAGCAAGGATCAACGCTGCGAAGTTGTTGCCTGACGTTAGGATAATTAATTCCCATAGTTTGCTGCTAAATCGGTCATCGGCCTTGTCAATAAACGAGTGCACACCTCTTCTGACAACATGAAAATTATTTGGGACAAAATGTGATTTGCCTCCCAACCTTCAGTGACATGAGGACTATCTCTGGTGCATTATAGTGCCTTTGTCTTGTTGAAACCACTGTCTGTCTTATCATTTCCATTGAGCAGGCAAATCACAGAATTCTAAAGAAGTAGTGCCTTAGTTTATAAAAAGTTTCTAAATCGAAGGACATATATAACATTTAAAATAAAGTGAGTTTGGCAAATAACCCTCAACAACCTGCCAACTATAGGCGCAGATCTAATTAGTGTTTCAAGCGGATTCACGAAATCACACTCTTTATGACGCCCTCGCACACAAGACACACATCACAACGAGGGGCCAAATTTAGCCTCACCTCTTCCCAAACACTATTTTTAGAATTCGATGCCTGCGTTAAGTAGGAAACGAAGAAAGGCGGCTAAAATGAAGGTTGATGAAAGCCATTTGTGGAAGTTAAAGTAGATTCGCATTGTACAAGTTCTGATTATCGCTAGAGTGAGGTTCGCGGAGGGAAAATCGCGAGTATTATCTAGGCCCGATAGCTCAGTTAGTAGGTACCAGGTTTTGGTGCTGGTAGCGAAACAGCCAACGCGCTTGTCTATCATGCCACAGATGCTCATCGGTGCACATCCGGTAATATTGGTTACCGCGACACTGATTAATTTTAGCCGGTGTATGGGGAAATAGAACGTGTTTCTCAACATTCGGCTCGATTAACTCAGAGGATTTTAACAGTTCTAGAGTGAAAGTTAAAAATCGTTTTGAATCACCACCACCAATATGGGTGTAGCGATACGGTACAAAACAGTTATCAGAACTGATGAATCATCGGGAAAGAACACTAATCACAAATTTCTTTTTCAAGTATTTCAATATGTACCTTCAAAAAAGAAAAGGTGCCTACCAATGTCCAATGTTAGAACGCAAGAATGCGGCATCTCCACAACTTATAAGAGAATGTCGATTTAAAACAAAATGAAAGGAAATAAATGAACTCTAATGGGCTCTGAGCTGTTAAAAAAAGCTAAGCTAACCATCAAAGGAGGTAATTTGAATAGGAAGAAAATATTCAAAGATCCCGTTTAATCTATTAATCTATAGAAGCGGAATATTGCGGACATGAAGTCACATAGGGACCTGAATTAATTAACACGGAAGCAATCACAACTAATTGACACGTCAACAGTTAATTCTCATTCAGATGCGTCCAGAACTCTGGTATTTTTTCCGCCATATTTCAGAGAGGTCCAGGCTAACTCAAATATAGGCAAAAAAACCATTTACCGAAAAAAAGCACATTTTCGAACTTAAGACTTAAGCTTGACTTAGTATCAAGCTAAGAAATCAGTATTTGAGGCTTTGATTGAAAGGCGCCGGAAGAGCGATAAATGTTCTTCGCGAATTACACGGCCCTACGAAATACACGCATCCGAACTCAAGAAAAATTGAGCTCACATTTGAGATCGAAATGATACCCCATATCTTTCATTTCAGGCCTGGAATCAGATTGCACCAAAATTCTGAAAAAACAATCAGTTGGAATTAGGATGCATAGCGAAGCAACAAAGCGCAAAACACCATATATGGGCAAAAGCCCAAAGCCGATGAAACTTTAAGAGTGCATTCAGAAACCGAAGGCTACGGAAAAGGAGGTGTAAATCATGAAAAACGTGAAAAAACAAATATCTAAAAATATTAGAATTTCCAGGGAATGAAATAATAATCCTAACCAGTTAAATATAAGAAAAATAAAATTCATGAAAAATCGAAAGCTTCAAATGAAAATGGAAGTCACCAAATATCTTTGTAAGCCAACTGGAGATATTCTAGCCAGAAAATAAAATTGAAACCAGAATTTTGGCGCGTGGAAGCGTTCATAATATTCGAAAATTTAATTTAATTAAATATATTTAAGTGGCCTAATTAGTGACGGTACCATTAAACTTGCATTCAAAATCAATAAAAAAGGCTTTTTATCAATAATGAACTATAAGGTAGGGTGTTCGATGCATTGGTAGGGAATGTAGTTGATTCACTGGCTGATATCCGTCCAAAAAACTATTTGTTTACTAAAATAGCCTACTGGGTGTCGGTACCTTATACATCTTCAATAGAATGTTTCAAATGCAACCTCATCAATGCAATTCGGAATCAATAGTTTAATTGGAAATCTCGGTGGGCATTTGAGAAACTGCGAAACTATGTTAGTCGGTCATAAAAATCTCCATTTTTTGGATATAATCTCATACTTGAATCTTGGTGTTAGATCTTTGAATTCGGTGGCATAAAGCCTTTCTAAGGAAGCAGTTCATCCCCTTTCTAGAATTTGGAAGCTCCGATTTAATTGCCTACTCACCCTCGATTCCTTCCTTCATACCCTATTGGACTAGCTGGCCCCCCGTTCCCAATTTCAATGCCTTCTCGTGGCTAAAGCTTTTACGCATTTTTAGCATCGGTACGAAATGTACTAATTAAATAACAAATATTATAATAGTCTAAATGTTACTCTGAATTCGATGCATAACTGTGGCATACAGTCACTCGGGGACCTAGGAGCCAAATCTAGAAAATTCAAGTGTGCATCCATGCCTATTAATAAATTATATTTTACGCCGATTAAATAATACATCATGATTAAATCTGGCAAAAGCCAGCATTTTCTTAGTAAAGGAAAAATCTTAAATATGACAATGAAATATGATTGTTACCACAGCAGTAAAGTGTTCGATGGTCTTAGTATTTTGGAACAGTTGCTACCAGTATATTTATTGAACACTTTTAACATCGGGCAAATTAGTTGTCCCTAAAAAGTGGGGACTAAAAGGATAGGAGCATGTGTTTTGTGTGAGAGTGTTAGTATTGGCATTAGATTACCACTGTAATATGCCTACATCAACGCTAGTTGAAATATAAAGTTAAAAAGTGTGTTTGTGTGTGTACGTGTGTGGGTGCGTGTGTGTGTGTGGGTATGCTTGTCCAAAGCGCGAAAGTTAAAAACAGATGGTGAGTTGCCATGCAAGAGAGTCAAGCGAACACAATTTGGGTCGAATTGTATTCAGCTCAGGAAAGGGAGTGGGAGAGAGAGAATGAGTTGTAAATGGAATACATTATTTAAAGTCAAAAATTTCAACTCCACTTTCGTGGACAGATGGGGTTTCATTCGCGGAACGATTTCAATAGTGAGTGAAATGGAGTGGTTTCCGTGGAAGAGTCAAGTCAACTTCGGGGAGGAGAAGATAAGCTGACTCTTACTTACACAAAATGCAGGCTCTTTCAATCTTATCATTTTCTAATATCAAATAGTCTAAGTAAAAGTGAACAAAAACAAATACAGTTTAACAAAATAAATAGTCCCAAAAATGGCGAAACATGGCGTTCTTAGAAAAGTTTCAACAGATGTAAATGCTCTTTATCTACGTGTTTCCATTTTTTGCAGGAATGACGGCTAAGAAAACTTGTAGAAAGCGATTGGCACTTACCTATGCTAACAGGAATGCTCACTATACTAAGATAGTAATTGCCAAAACCTGGAATGATTAAAATCAATAGCGGAGGCCAAATTGTCAGGGCCATTATATCCAAAGTCAGATAATAAAAGTATCATTGAATATATCTGTTCGAAGTAGGCTAGGAGAAGACTGTGTTTCGGAGGGAAAGGGCGATAATAGGACTGCTTACAAAGGAATAGCTTTGATAATAATAATAATGGCTATATTCATGACTATAAACTAAACGGAATATATTGCATACAGCAACTAATAAAAGTACCAGGTAAAATGAAAAAAAACTCACGGAATAAACTTGATCCCCCATTGAAGCTATAACAGAGTTGTATGGCGGTGGAGCCCCACCCCCAGAGTTATTTAACTTCTTGAAAGCAGTACCCCCTCCAGAGGGCATCTGGACGGCATTCGGATGAGCAATTAGTTGAGAAGCCGTGGGAGGAGGTGGTGACCGCATTCTTTGAGCACCCCCAACTGGATTTGGAGATATCGAATTGTGTTGGTGGTGATTCGATTGGCCTGTGAATTGTCTTCTAGCTGGAACAGGAGCCGATGGCGCTCTTTCATCCATGAGTGGCTGTTGAATGGGAGTTTGGTGGTTTTGACGGTGATAATTTTGGGGACAGATCATTGGAGGCATGGGAGAGGTAGAAATGTGATAGTTGTCTAGACTTTGACGAGGTCCTGATGAGGCATGAGATACCGGCCCTCCTGCAAAGCAGACGAAAAAAAGGAAATGAAAAAAGTTTACCGTTATTCTCAGGATGGGAGACGTAAAGCCGCCTAATCTGAACGAAGTTCAGATGAACTTGTTCATGAAATTTTTAATTGATCGAACACCAACGATTGTAAACCAATAGCTTGTTATCCACCTATGTTTCTTCCTTCACTAAAGACAAAAATGGCATGTATGTTGGATGACAACGCGATTGACTTGCGCAGCCACCGATTCAGAGGTCATGGGCTTGATTCCCATCAATCCACAACCAGTGAGTTAAAAGTGTCTGAGAATTATATTTATTGCCATCCCTTGTACAAAATTTGGTTCTGTGATATGAACCATACAGGCGATTATTTTATTTCATTTAATGAATTAATGAAATCTGCTCATTCACGCCTGAAGCAATTCTAGCGTATACGCCCTGGTTTTTTGTCCCATAAAAAGTTAAGGCCGAATTTTACGGTTAAATAACCTGGTTGGATTTTTTTGTAACGCAGATACATGGCTACAACAGTTTGCTTTGGCAAATGCAAAGCGCTTTAACATTTACCCCTTATAATTCAAGTACAATTTATGGACAACTTTCAATTCGAATCAATTGCAGGAGTCAGGAAAGAGGGAACTTTTTTAATCCTGTATTTAACAAGTTACACCCAAAATTGGTGCAGCGCAATGGGATAAAACATAATATTGGAGAGGAAATAGGGAAGAATTCAATGCTAATTCAATTTACCTAATTAATTAGGTGCAGGAAGTGCTGAAAATTCAACTTTTTCATTGCATACTCAATCACACTTCGTTCTTACTACAGTCTGTATCCTTGGGATATCCTAGATATGGAAAAGATTTTTTTACCATTATCGATCTTACTTGTTTGACTTAAAAGACCGAACTTAAAATCGGGAAAGATTGAAAACAGAATTACAACTTGTAAATTGTTGTCAGTGGAGCAGAGATTAATGTGCTCACCCTGATGAACGGAATGACCAAGCGTGTCGATTGGGTAGGGTAGAATGAGGGTTTCTCACCATGGGGGAAGGGTTAAAGTTATTTTAATATTACTTTCATTTTATATAATCCATATTTCCAAAATTCCAATGGCCACAAAAGCATATAAGAGCTTTGTATTCTCATTTGAAATGGATTGTGATATTAAGGCCCAGAATAACAACGCCAGTGGCGAATTTCATACAACCTTTTGACAACCACGAAATTCGCCTGATCCGATGCAGTTGTAGGAGGACAAACTACGAAAACGATGGACGAACTTTGAACTCATTCAAACCCACACAAAGATATTTTCCCACAAAATTGGATTGTTTGTTTAAAAGCGCGCCAAGTTTTATCAGAATCAAGATGGGGAGAAAATGACTATGCTTAGACTTTTCGACTGTGATTAAAATTAATAAAAAAAACAAAAATACAAAATAAAGATAGGATAAATATTTGAAGAAATAAACTTTAAATGAATTTGATTTAATGGCTATCCTGCATGAACTTCCAAACTCGATGATTTTAAATAAAAAAGGAGTTTCAAAAACCTAATTGAAAGTTTGCTATTTTCATGAAATTCTTGTAGAAATTTTCATATATTTTTCGCTACTAGCGACCTAGAGTGAATAAATTAAGTCCTTTTATATATTAAAAAAAGTTTCTCGGCTAGCATTGGACACACACAATGAGATGGTACGATCAACCACTCAATTTTAATTACTGCGAATCTTGACAGCACGCAGAGTAATGACAAGTTCCAACCACGGGAGTCACGTGACCAAGGGACAGAGGAAAGGGAGTCCAACATGGCATGAAATGGGGAAGGGTTGGGATGAAGCGGACAGTGGAGTCAGAGCATCCGGTGTTTTGGCATGCTTGAATTATACAAACAGGGGGGGGGGCTGTCCTCACTTGCTCATTTTGTAATACCTTAATATTTAAAGCTGGATGAATTTATCGCCCAGTTGAATAAGTGAGAGAGTATGCTCACAAAAGTCCAACCTTGCAGGCCAGTTGACTTGGCTCCATGGGTGATAAAGTCATCCTAAGTTAATAGCACATTTTTACACGTGGGAGGAGATAGCCAAAATTAGTAACAATTATTTTGGCATTCAATTATTTTCTGAATATCAAAAATGGGAACTAACACAGGAACCTAATGAGCAAATAATAAACTGGAATTTTGGATCTTTAGGAAATTATGTAATTGTCCATGCCAATTAAGAGAAATGCTTACAAACTGAGGAATTCATAGTTCAAACTAACCATGACGATTTCAGAATTTCTGACTTTTATTCCTGCACTCCCCACCTCCGTTATCATACATTAGATTGTTCCTGGATTTATTCGACAATCCTGCTAATAAGAAATCAACGATCCTGCATTTCAGTGGATAAAAGTAAGAAAGAATTTCGATAAGCTTAGAGTCCATTAACATTCCATTGTGTAGCAGGAGGAGCCGTCCCCACCATCGATGGGTATCTCTCTAGCGACTTTTAGCGTTGAGTGCATCTCAACGGTGTACCGATTCTTGAGCAAATTATTTTTTGTGAACTATAACAAGTATTTGTAAAAAGTCCGTGCAATGTGCTTGGAAGATTAACTCAAAAATGCAATCTTTTGAACAATATTAATGAAATCAACGATCCTGCATTTCAGTGGATAAAAGTAAGAAAGAATTTCGTGACTTTCAAAATATGATAAATGTGTGAAGAGCACAAGCACTTAGATAAATTTGTTACAAGGTTGTAAAAGTGCGCATTTTAGAGTATAAAGTGCAATCAATAAGTAATACATAATCTACTTAAAAATTCTCCAAGCATTTATGTCGTTTCAACGGATACAATTTGACTATTTTCAGTCTTGTGATTTCTCCTAATTCCAAGTGAGGTACAAGGCTATGGGAAAGGAGATGAATGCATTCCCCCACCCCCCCCCCCCCCCCCCACCCTGGTAAATTGTATTAAAAATGTAAGAATTAATGGCAAGGCATGCAGTCAGCAACATCAATTCTACATAATCAAGGGGAAGGGTGAGTGGGGAGAGGAGGTGGGGGTGGGACAAAAGCCATCATCAAACAGTTTATGTAGCTTGTCACTTTTTACTCCAGTGGAGATTTGAACATTTGACATTGTTAAACAACGTTAGATATGAACGAATTTGCAAAAATAAAATATTACGTTCTGTACTGTTGGATTCATTGTGACCAGGAATATAATAATTCTATTTAGGAAGCTAATCAAGGGACCAGAAAAGAGTGAATATTCCCTTGTACTAAAGTTATTTTGATGAATAGTATTTTCCAGGTTGGAGTACCATAAACGTTGCTTATTTCAAAATAATTCATTAGGCATTCTCACTACACATAAGAGCGAGAGACGGGTAAGTCAGTTGTACCAACAATAAAAATGACCTTGAAACAGTAGGACATATGCTTAACAGAGGAGAAGTGTAAAGTAAATTTCTGAAAAATGCTCTGAAGCGGCTCCTTCGAGAAGCTTAGAGTCCATTAACATTCCATTGTGTAGCAGGAGGAGCCGTCCCCACAACCGGTGGGTATCCCTCTAGCGACTTTTAGCATTGAGTGCATGTCAACGGTGTACCGATTCTTGAGCAAATTATTTTTTGTGAACTATAACAAGTATTTGTAAAAAGTCCGTGCAATGTGCTTGGAAGATTAACTCAAAAATGCAATCTTTTGAACAATATTAATGAAAATGACACTTCAGTATGACTAAGATTAAATTCCACATTTCAAGGAGCATTAAGTTATTCATTAAAGTTTCTACGGCAACAACAAACAGATAAGTCCAAGAAAATTAGAAAACGAACGAAATTAAATGTCTACGATGCAGTGATATTGGTCATCAACATGCTAAATTCTTAAACATTTAAACAAACAGCCCCTTACTTTCCTCAATAGGCTTAAAAAGACTAGCCTAAAACGGTTTGCAACTAGCATGCATTGTGAAAGTCTTGCTCAAACATAGCCATAGCCAACCACTGAGAATTATGTATAAAAATGTCTTATTTTAAAGCAGATAAAATCATCCTTCGAAGGGAGAAAAGACTATGGACAGCCCTTTAACAAATTATCCGGACTAATTTTCAGGAATGAGGAATCGATCAAGCACAGAAATTTAATTTTTCTCGAACCTAGTCGATTCATCGCATCGCATTAAACCCTGCGAACGAAAAGGATACCACCTCGTTTTTTATGCTCTCGTATATGTTCCGACGATAAGTCACGAGTCTCACACATCCCTGTACACACCCCGGATTCCAAATGGTCTAAACAGTTGTTACAACAGCAAGCAACAACTGCTGAAGTAAATGTCTGCAAAGACGGGATCTTTCCTTCTTGCGTGCAATGTTATACCACCACTTTACGCGTATCTATCGCGTGAAAGTATGTCTGGGCTAACTGTGGGGAATTTTATGGAATAGTCAATAGTGACTGGCTATTCTGTTCTATTTCACCATACCATAAACCCAAGCTTTTGAAAGCATTTATGCAATCGAACGAAAGATTGAAGAATCACAAGCAGGGAAGTAACAATAAGAAGAGCGGCTAATTACTAATCCGTGCAAATGAACAAAAGGCTCAAGTGAGCTGTGTCACCTACCTTCTGTCCAATTCTTAGGTAGATTCATTTAGCATAAACTGTGCATTTTCATGAAGATTTAAAAATGACTAGACTGCTTTAAAGAAGGTTATTAGTTACCCCCATTTAATCGAAGGTATTCAACGTTTTATTTTAGAGAAAACATTTAAGCATTCGAGGCCTGCCCGAGGGTGGGAGGAGGAGGAGCATTTAGATTGAAGTAACGATTTGGAGAGAGGCATGAATTCGAAAATTTCCGCAACAACCATCAAAAATATTACCTCCGCAAAAAAGCACAAGAATATGATTTTCTATCGGGGGAACATTCTCAGCAGTGATATGATTGTGCAGACTTTAGAGATAATGACAGGTTTAAAGATATCTCACAACTCAAAAGAAAGTGAAAATAATTACATACGTGGTATTTGATGAAGAAAGATCCGTTTCTAACATGCGTTTTCAATTTCGAGGACTGAATTCAAATAACATTTAAAGGTGAGAATGATTCCCTAAAGCTTATACTGGAAGGGAGAAAATAGTAGGAAACAGAAAATTCAATTTAATTATCTCCATAAATCCTTAGATATTCAAAACTACCATTTCTGGCGTTAATTCATATTTAAACGAAGGTGGCATTTCAGAAATATGGATTAGAATTCTTTCATACCCAATGTGAGAATGCAAAAGCAAACAAAATTACTATCCTTAAAATTTATTAGAAATGAATTTTAAAGGTAGTTTGAAAATGGAAATAACGAGTTATTTCAAAGTCCACACAATAGCATTTAGGTTTAGCAATCAATTTAAACAAATACTACCCATTAAAAAAGGCGATAATAACTCATTTGGCGTACAAATTAGATTAATAATTAAAAGTATTTAAGACGGTACAACGCAATCTGAAAATCGGTAGAGAAAATTAGTCCTGCCTGCTTAAAAAAGACTTACCCTTCTACTCCTGCACCCGGAATGCACATTTTCAAGTTCGTTTTTATCCCTAATAAAATTGGCGTATCGCGATAGAAACAACTGATGCAAGATAGAATCTCAGGTAAGGCGTTTAACAAGATTTAAGCGAATGAAAGCTTAAATAAAACATAAATATTACAAATTGTTAAATCTGGCAGTGTTTAGTGGACAGAATAATAGCGGAAAAGTGGCAGGAATAAAAAAGATTACTTTGCATTTAAGTGTTCAAGAAAGGGCCAAATTCTCAGTACAATCCAAAGTTCGAGAACAAATTATCCGAATTTAAAAATGGTGACAAAAATATTATAGAAATATCTCCATACAATTCAAACTTCGAGTAAAACTGTCACCGATTCAAATAGCAGGAATGAGGTAATAAGACTTGTAAAATAGGAATTGATGCTATTGGTAAAGCGCATTCTCTTCCCTTATTTTATTCTGCATTTATCGCAAAAAAATTATATCTGAAAAGCACTTACACCAATCGAACGGTGTATTATTAGGCAACAGCATGGCATTAACTTTCTATTGTTATGCAAATTAGATAACCATTAGTGCAATCTACCGTTCGTAATTACCAAGGGCACTAATGAGTTCTGGTTAGAAGAATGACCGAATATGAGCCTATCAATCAGATGTTATTTCTCAAAGCAAAATGAGAAAAAAAATAGATTTTGGATTAAAAATAATTCAATTAATTGTTATAAAATTTCAAGTTGACAGTGAGGGATTCATGATCTAGATATCTGGGGGACAAAATTTCTACTTTAATATATGGCTGTAATTCAGTTAAAATAAATTCCTAACATTTTACTAACAGTCTTTAAAATGCATTGACCAGAAACCCTAAATCGCAACGAATATTACCTGAGAGATGTGTGTCTACTATTAAAATAGCGAATAGTATTGAAATCTTGCTGGGTTCAGAATAAAGCATAAGATGTCAATCATAGCTTAATTCAACTAAGTGTTTGGTAATCATGAAGATGAGAGAGAGATCAGCATTCAATCTTCTACAATCCAATAAATTAAAACTAGCTTTCGAGATGCGTAATTACGAGAAAGAAAGAAAATTTTAGGAAAACTTTCTTCCTTGTTCAAATTATCCATTTTTATGTTTTATTTAAAGTTTGAAAGGTTGTAAAGCCAATGGAGATCTCATTAGCAAACAAGCTCAATAGAGGTCTTCGTTTTTCTACAACCAAGTTGTTCAAATTCAACCCCCTTTATCCCATATAAAAGGATATGTTACTAGCAATGACACGAAAGTTAACTAGTTGCTTCAATCAAATTCATTTAGCAAAAGATGCTTTATAGAAAATTGAATTTATAGAGCCATTTGTGTAGCTGTCAAGGCAACTCTGAAATTTTAGAATTCAGGTGGGATAAGTATCGTCATATTCCACCATTATACTTACGACTTTCAAATGAAAGACAAGCATGACATTAATTCATTGTTTCAGCATGCAGCTCTGCGTATGGAGCTTTCATTCGGAAAAGATAACTCAATAGTTTAAATCTCAAAACATTCAATTTGACCAAATGAAGAATTCCTCAAAACGAGTAGGACTCCCCTCAACCTCCAATAATGTCAAAACCAATTACTAAAATTTGGCGTGACTTAAATCTCCAGATGAGCTTTTCTTAATGCTCACAGAGGAGAGAAAATTCCTCCAACTTAATTGAGTCAAAATACTTTAAAATAGGCGCGAAGTGGTGGTGATGGTGGTAGTAGCTGTAGTGGTCGCAGCAGAGGTAATTAACGTGACTACTACTACATATATGTAGCTTTTGCGTGCTGTGTTGTTTAAGTGCACTCACCTTAAGTGATAAGCTTTTAAAATGGTGTGCAAAATCATAGAGAGAAGAGGGGGGGGGGCGAAAGGGGGGGGGATGGTGACTGTTTCGAAGTGTATAGGCCGAAACGAATACTATGAGGTAAAAAACAAAATAAGTATACCATTATAATGAAAATTTGTTTCTACAATATAGAAAAGCTGTGGACAAACCAGGGCATTGCATTAAATTTATTCGCGCTAATATATAAGACTTCTAGGCCTATATTACTGTCCACATAGAAACAATAAATATGATGGCAAAACATTAAAACACTTGAATCGATAAATATATCAATAAGGGGTGAGAAAGGAATCAGATAGAAGGCAAGAACGTCAGCGAAGATATCATTTAATTTCTAAATTCATCCTATTATTCACTTTCCACTTTAAAGGGTTAGTTTATTATATCATGACTCAGTAGTTCATACAACAATTTCCAAAATTTCAGGTGAACTCGTATACACGATTTCAGAACTAATTGGTGGGAGATTAAATTAAATGGTTGGTCAATCCGTCTAGGAAAAAAATTAAATTAAAGATAAATTGTTAGTAGTGGAGAGGAAAAAGATTTTGTGAGCTATTGAATTATTAAAACAAGGAAGCCAATAGTATTCAAACCAACCATTGATTGGACAGTTCTCAATTGAACAAGGTCGTTGCTGTTGGTGATATAAATCCGTCGTTGGTGTAAAGGGGCCTTGGGGACATGGAAACATGAAGGGGTATGAACTAAGCTGAGGTGACGGATGATGGTAGGTCATGCCCTGGTATCCAGACCCCCCTAAACTCATATTAGGAGTACCATAACTTGACGGTGTCATCATGCCCACATAGCCAGCCATATGTGGTGTTCCAAAAAAATTGTCGTAATTCTGGAAAGAATTCGGTGGAATATACCCAAAGCTAAAAGTTGGAGGGTTTGGATAAAGGGGTGAGTAGATTGAACTCCGTGAGATAGACCCAAAATTTGATCCGTTTGCACTCCGCAGATCAGATCCAGAATCAAATGCATAGCATTCTCCATTCGTCTGATTGACATTTGGAGTATTTCCAGCTTTGATCGCAAGACAAGTTGAGTCTGAATGACTTCTAACAAGGCAACTTAAGCTACCACTATTTGCAGATCCACCCTGTTTGCATAGATCAGCAGGATCAAAGCTATCATATTTCATGTCATATCCTCGTTTGATCTTGAGTTTCCGCTTAATATCTGTGGTTTCATTTTTCCTATGACCTTTCATGCAGCTGAGCATTGGAGAAGGATAGGATCCACTAGAACTTTTAAACTTCACTTTATTCCGACTGGAAAGAGAGGCTGTTTTCAGAGTTCGAACTAGGGCATTTGGCTCAGGACGCGGGGATTCATTCCTGAGACTTAGAAATCGATTATGCACAGAACAAGCATCATCAACAGAAGAAATACGATCTCTGATCGTCGAATTATCATAATCCACACTGTCTGAATCAGAACTTTCAGAAGTCTGAAAGGTAGCCTCTAGAGGTCTTTGAGGAACATTTCCAATAGAGGAAGGCTTGAAGCAGTTGAAAGAAGACATGGAAATGTGTAAGTGGAAATGAAAAGGACAGTAAAGGGAAGGTTAAGGCGTGTCAGGAGAGCGTGAACGCGAAGAACCAATCAGCGCCACGGACAATGACCATTGGCCGAAAAAAGCGGAAGGGAAATATTTTGGGGAAATATTATTGGTTAAGAAGAACAAATAGTTGGCGTAATAAATGATCAGATTTTAAGACTTCAGATTCTTGACATAAGGGATGGTATCACTGGCATACAGTAAGTCTCTGTTTTAAAGTTAATCAACACAATGTTAGAGCATTGAAATTGTTACTTTTTCCATATACTTTTGATTCAAAATATCATTAGTATGTTTTCGCAATTTGAGGTAAGGCATATATATGCAATATGCAATATAGCTTAATGTAAACTATTTTGCTAAAATTTGTACAAAAGAGAAGTATCAAATGAATAATTTGAAGTCGGGAACCTAATCGACGAAACCACAATTATAGACAGAAAACAGAAATCCTATTCATATGAAACGCAAAGAAAAAAAATGTACAAGTGATTCCAAAATTGCAATAAGCATTTTGTCCCTTAGAGCGATTGGAAAAAATGGCGCAAAATCAGTCAAAATATTTTATTCATAATCCTTAAATAACTTGTGAATTTATTTGGTAAAATAATTTCTTATTTAAAGGAATTTTAAGCGGTTAAAATTAGGGAAAACATAGTCTAACAGTAACCATTTTTGATAAAGGAATTTAACCTTAAACTGAAAACGTTAATGCTTAAAGATGGAAAGAGTATTTGAACGTAAAAGATTTTACTCGTGCCCCAATACACTAAATAATCATGACTGCATAAAAGGAATTTATGATATTTTTGTTTTCATTTAAAAATCAAGCTTTTCACTTCATATAAGACTTTAATTTACTTCTGAACTGATGTTCGGGTAAATTTTCCTAATTTTTGCATTAAACCAATACTGACGGTTCTGTCATTATTCACCCAATACGTATTCGAACAACAGGTCTCCCAAATTGAGAGAGCGCCAATAACATGGAGTATTTAGAAACGCTTAAAGGTTCGGAGATCACTGTGGATGATGAATTTCTAATCAGCATGTAAAATAATGGAAGAGTTATACGTCGAAATGGTAATTCAAAGAGTTTCTAAAGAATTATTAATTTAATAAATGAGGTTTTTTCATAAATAATTATGAATTGAATGCGAAGAGTTTAAGTTACAAGGGTACAAATGGATCACCGTGGATTCCTAATGACAAAATAGATATTCAATCTATAATTGAACAATAAATAACTTCTGTTTCATTAAATGAGGTAGAGCAAAAAATCTGGACTTCGATTGATTATCTTTGAAAAGTGGCAAAGATGTCGGAAAACATCGTTAGAACAGGCAAATTTTTCAACAAACAGCAGAAACAGCTGTTGAGACTTATCAAAGACAAGTCACAATATTCACGCCATAGCTAAATACGGATCCCCCCTCCCGCCCATCATTCATCTCGGTGCAGCTAGGGGGTCTTAGCACACGAACCAAAAAATTGACTTTATAAAGCAAATAATAAATAGGTTATTTATGCGTGCAAAGAATCAATAGACTAGTCAATAACGAATCATATAGCTTACTTGGCATTGCCATATCATGAGGAAAGTAAATAGGAATGATGCGCCTAAAAGAAATAATGAAAGCGTTGAATATGGTGAAGACTTTTCGTTGAACATTAAATGCAAAAATCATAATTGGCCATTGGAATACCGCAAAAAATACTACGAAGCGGATTTATTATGGCAACATAGAACAAACCGTAATACTCTAATAATTATCCTTAACTGATATTTCATGAAACCCAGTGCTATTATACGCTAAAAATAGCAATTTATCAAAATTAATTGTCAACAATCTTTTTTATATAACAATGTTTTCAAATGTTACAATACTGATTAATTTTATTACTGTTAAAAGCAAGTTGTCAAGCAGAAAACCAAAGAAGGCATGTTTTAGATTTATTACCTTTTGACAAATAGCAGAAATAAATCCACCCTATTCGATATTTCAAGCAATAGTATAAATAAGTGGGTTTAATGGCAGCTACGCATAGCGCGGTGTTGTTGCAGATTTACATAAACCAACACTTAACCTTGAAAGGCTTTCCTAACATAGTACATAAAATACATGAGCATAACGAAATCAAAGACAATCGTAAGTATTAATCAATTCTTCAGATTTATTATAATTCATTTCAACTATTCTTTATCGAATTCTTGGAAGTGTATAAAATCTTTGAAGCCATTTAAAAAGTTCATTTTTATTCTCTTTAAAAACAATACACCTCCAGACAATATCGTTAACGAATATTTAATTTTTTACACATTATAATGCGTCACAGAGTGCTCAAAATAAGTAAGCAATTATGATATTGTTATTTTGTAAAAAAGATAAGAATTCTCAACGAGGTAATTGACTTGAATATCCGTGAAAGTATTTTGTTTCATTATTCTGATCCCGTATTTATGAAATAACATTTAATTTTATGCACCCATTTTCCTCACTTTACGAAAATTCACAGTCCTTTCTCTTAAAAGTTGGAATAATTTCGTAATGCTACCCTTTGAAAGTCAACAGTGAATACTAGGAGTTTTTATGAAACTATTCCTTGACTAGAATTTGAAAAAATACATTGGGGATTGAAAAATTTCCGATTAATTTTCACATAGCATATTTTACTTTCAATTAATGCTTATTATCGTTAAACTTTGTTATTACTTCGCAAAGATATTCTAGTGTAAAGAGAATCTTCGGCAACAATACATTCAGCTTGTGCATGTACATTGATTATATAAAGTTGAAAAAATGCCCAAATATTTTGCTAACAAAGTTATTATGAACAATGATTCGATGAAAAAGGACATTTTTAAAGTTATATTAAAATATTATTAACTAAAAGGCCGTTTCCGGTTAATATATAGTGATTTAGCAAAAAACTGCCTTAAGTTTTACCTACACTAAATATGTTCGATGCTTCAGATAAAAATGTTTCCGCTGTTAGCAACTATGCCATAGAGCAGACAAATTTACCTATTATTATTTTCAAACCATAGGCATCTGTCTGTATGCCCATTGTACGAAGAAGCGACTTCGATTTCAAACGCAATTGCATGCTATTTCTACAAAAACCAAGCTTTCGTTTTAGAATTTAATGAAACTTATAATTATCAATTCGGCTTTTCTGTAACTTGATGTGTGGTAAAAGACGTAAAAGTGTTGATATGCTATATTTGAATTGGAAATTTTCAGCTATTCACGCTATTTAAGACCATTTTAAACAAGGTGTGCACACTTCTGTGGGTCAATATTGACAAGTTAAATTAGCGATATTGTTAAGTCATTTTTACTTTATGGTCGTGTCATTTAATGCAAATCAAGCACCAAACAATATCAAAATAAAACAACGTGGTGGTAAATGTACGTTGTAAGAAACAAGGTTTGTTAGTAATTTTTAAGTCTCCAAGGCCTGCGGCATTAGTATTTTTCTTGTATAATTTCATAATAATAATCTTGGCGAATGAACCAAATATACATGATCTGACTTATGTTTTTGTCATGTTTTAATTTTTCTATTAATTGTAATATCATGTGAAAAAGTGTGTTATGAAATTGAAATTTTCAATGCATCTAATAAAAGTTATTAAATTTACTTAGCTTTAATTAAACTATGTCTATTATTTTGTCGATAATTTTTAAAACACTAAATCTGTTTTTAACTAAATTAACTAAAATTAACTATTCTATTTATATTAAATACGTAAAAAAAACAATTTTAAATATCTAACCAAACTTCTCATAACGAAATCCTAATTCTTCTTGCCTATTGACTTGTTATAAATATCTTCGATAAGTCCGGTTACATTAATTTGATTGGTCTTTTCAGAATGATCGTACCGGATTTGTCCAAAAAGATAGCTCAAGTTGCTTTAGATACTCTTGAGCAAGACAACGTATATGAAAACGTGATATCTTATGTTCTACAGAAATACTCAATTGAATTGTCCATGGGTATGCTTTGCACTTTCCTAATTTGTCACTCTCTAAGTGACTGACCATGAGACTCGCTACAATATTGTAAATGATCGCGTCGGTACAGTACTAGAAGAAATTGGGTTAATAAAAGACCTCTCAGATATAATCAAAAATCTTGGTTTGGGGGATCGTTTAAAGGAACTTCAAGAGGAGAAAGTGACATTATTAGAGAAACAGACAGCTCTTACCGTTAAGTTAAACTCTCTAACAAATCAACTCATTGATCTTCAGACCTCGTAAGTGGTAGTATTTCATTATTTTCTTCTAGGATCTTTGGTCGAATCGAGTTTAAAGTTGACAATCTGGCGGATGAAGAACCTATTAAAATCGAGGCTCCTGAAAATTTATTAAAGGAAGAGTGGGTTATTATTTGTCTTACTACCTAATTTGCCTTTTTTCGAATTTTTGATTGGTTTTATTTGTAGGCACGGGGTTAATCCAGCTACGTATGTCAGTAAATCTTGGCGTCAGATAAGGCCAAATGAATTACTCCTTGGAATGTTAGTTCCATTTTTTAATTACTTTCTTTTGAATAGCCGTGGGTATATCCGCCAGCCTGTCTTTATCATCACTGATAATAACGTCTGGATTAAAGGTGTTGTCGAAAATGTCATTGAAAGAGACGAACCACTTTCTTTAATCGACTTAAATAGACATTCTTCTGCAAATGGTCCCATGAGAATTTCTCCAACAGAACGTCAGTATTCCGACTTAAGGTCGGTATCAAGTCCCCTTCGATACCTGGTATCAAATGATAATGATTTTCGAGAGACCGTCGACTCTTCCCGGCTAGCTCTTGGTTTGTCGTCCGAGGAGTTAACTCAGCGTTATCCAGTTGGGGCTCGTGTTGTCGGTAAGGACGCATCGATTTTTTACCTATCTTTTTTGAAGCTCGATATATAGATCCACACGGAGTGTCGGATTACTACTCCGGAACTATTGGTGAGCCGCCGAAATTGGATAATGAATATCGTTACTTAATCTTCTTTGACGATGGTTATGCCTATTATGCTCAACCGGGTTGCGTTTTCAGGATGTTTAACCAATGTAAGCTTGCAAAATCTCTAAAAAGATAATGCTATTCTTTATAGCTAAAGAAAACTGGCAATTTGTGAACAGGAACTTCCAGGAATTCATGAAAATATATTTGCATAATTTTCCAAAAGTTAGTTTTTTACATTAAGATTATGTTTTGCTTGCTTTTTTGCTTTTAATCATAATTTTACACTCTGCAGCGTCAACTTCTTAAGCTGAACGTCGATCAAGTGATTCGTGCGCAGTTAAATGGCAATTGGTTACAAGCGAAGGTTGTCAAAGTTGACAGTAGCTTGGTAATGTTGGAATATCCCAGTGGCAACTTGGAATGGATTTATCGGGGGTCAGAACGTTTGGGAGCAATAATTTACAATAATGTGAGCAATTATCATTCAATCATACATTTCTTTCTTGTATTCTTGCTCCCTATTTGGGCTGAGAGTGAGAACAATGCAAAATGCTCTCCCCATAGATTTAGAGTGTCTTAGGACATATTAGAACTGTTCGTTCATCACTTATGTCAAACTGATATTATATTCAAATGTAATTGGTTGCATGGGACATAGTCGCAGATCATGTAGTGCTGCTATTGCATCCATCTTCGCTCCTTTTGGGACTAAAACCTTATCATTCCTCATTGACGGTGGCTGATTTACCCTATTAACCGAAATGTTTATTGGGACGCTGTAAAAATGTAGTTTCGGGTTATAGAATATGGTGAGGAGATTGTGCCAGATTGAATCGCAGAATACTGCCTTATGCTACTATCAATAATTTCGCATTAATCTGACCCAATGATCAACATGTCAGACTGGATCAGGCTGACTAGATCATACATTGCAATTTGCAAGTCAATGATCTATTTGTGTATTCCAAACTTACTATCATATTTTGAAGTAAGGCTCTGCTGAAAAGATCATTAACTGTTTTTTACAATTCAAACTCAGACTGGTGAGAAGGATATCAAAATAATCAGATTCAGATTAACTTAGCTCAATCTTAACCGCAAATGAAAGCCGGAACGCGTGATTAAACATCTTTGGCTCTTCTGTTTCTCTGTGTTTATATGTCTGCTTTTATCACTACTAGGAGTCGCGGGAGTCTCCTCCAGATGATTTGGCACCCTTTCAAACAACTGGTGAGTTCCTCTTTTGAATGCCCCATCTAGACAAGAATCTTGTGCTTTTCTACTAATGTCTGCTCATTCCTCTCGTTATCCCAATTTATGATTAAATCCTGGTCACCCTTCATAGATGTAACAGTAGATTGAGAAAAGCAGGACATCGCGATTTGGTAACCGAATTTTTCGTAAAAGTCTTTTCAAATTTGCGAAATCATTTCGTTGGAGCTTAGTTTTCAGGGCAACTCTGTGTAAACTTCAGCAACCATTAATTTTCAAGAGTAAAGACTTATATTCATTTGCAACATTCTAACCCCTATTACGCTTTTCGTCTTATCGCGGAAGAAAGCGTGCAAAAAGATCTCTGTGGTCAATACTATGCATGAATCTCCTCTATACTAATGGTTACACGTGAATAGTCTTACGGAATTAGATGGTATATAGCTTTAATTCAGCCTAAAATTGTGATTACGTAATGATTATCTAATAATCTATTTTTCCCTTTTCCTATAAGGTACTCGACGACGCTTCACTGGTCGCCGATCAACTGCTGCGGGAGCTGTTCCCTCCTCGGTTTCAAGGATTCATCAACCAGGCACTTCATCGGAACCTTACGTGCAACCATCCATGCGGGAGGCTCTAATGGTGGGAGTGATTGAACCCTACTTAGGATCTTTCAAAGAATCAATGCAGATCAAACCTTATGGTACTAAAAATAATGTTATTCTTTTCTACTTCCCTTGACTGAGCAAAATTTTTTTAAACAGGGAGTATATTTGCTTCCATGAAGGCTTTGTTAGTAGAAAGAAATTTGTTAAGGAATTCAGAAAAGCCTACTTCAACTGATCTCTAAATTCTTCAGGCCAATGGTTTTTCTCGATGTGAAGTGCCTTCAAACTTTTCCTTTCCTTTCATCATTTTGATTATTGAAAGAAAAATCTGGAAGATGTAGTTTCATGACTATTTGTAGCCATCCTCTTTTCACATAATTCTTGTTGGTTCATCTAGAGAAGAAGGAGTCTTCCATTTAGCTGATTGCCTTTGTGTTTTGGACGTGTCGATCGACCAGCGCCTTATTATTTTCGCTGTCATTTTCTTTGAGTCGACATACATAATGTCTTTGTTTTGCGTACACCTTTTAGTCGTGCTTATTCCTCAATATTTCGAGCTACAGATTTCTATGCAAGCTTCCTCATTCGAAGTAATTTTAATTTAAACAATCAGTTAAAATTCTGAAGATAGATAAGTGGAGCAGCCTTACAGCTCGCTAGATATTTGCCTATATGCGGTTCTTATCCCCTATTGAACCATTAAAGAACCACTTAGATATTCAATGTTGCTCAAAACTCTTTTTAAGATGCTTCAGCATCCTACTTTCTTCTATTGACTTCTCTTTCGATGGCCAAAAAGTTCTTAATCAAATCGAATCTCTAAAATAAAAATATTGATTTGTGCTTCTTCTCATTTTAGTTGATCATAAGTGCTCTGGAAGATGTCTTCGAACCTTGGCGAATCCAAATGATCCTTCTGAGGGCTATTTATCTGAGAACCCTCTTAGTTACAAGGGCATAAACCCTCTTGAAATCCCCTTACGTGCGGGTTGGACACGAATTTACTTGAAAGCCACCCCAGCTGCTCTATTTCGTGATGTCATCGCTTATATAGCTCCATGTAAACGTCAAATTCGAGGTCTTTCAGAGCTGGAACACTTCCTCTACCAGACTGACAGTCAGTTGACATCTGACCTTTTTGCATTTGATAAGGAGGTACGAATTGATGCGGAGTACCGATGTGAAAAGGCCTTCATACGGATTGCTGACTTGTCCTACAGGAAGGAAAATGTACCGATTCCTTGTGTAAACAGTCTGGACAACGATGCTCCACCGTATATGGAGTATATCACCCAGAGGATGCCCTATGGTCATGTGAAAATTAATGACGATCCGGGGTTCATGGTGTGCTGTGATTGTACGGACAATTGTCGTGATAAGACAAAATGCGCTTGTCAACAACTTACCAGTAAGTAGGATGATTTTAATTAGGGTAAACTAGTCCATTTACTTTTGGAATTTTATTACCATTTCCACATTTACGTATCGTTACTAGACTGCTTAGTTTCTAAGGGCATTGAAAGGCACATTTCCACAGAATTCACATTTTGCAGTTCTTTCAATCAAAATGAGTCAGCGCATTCTAAGCATGAGTTATTGAACATCGAGTTTATCCATCTCTGACTTTTCAAACGCATGCATACTTTCTCTAATAACATGTCGTGGACCACGTATTAGGACCACTGTATATAAATCCAAAATGACACGATTTAGACAAAAGACTTAGTAATGAGATATTGTGAGCTATAAGCATCGAAAGTATCCGGAGGTGATTAAGGGGCTGAAAAAGTGTATTGTTCAACTATCGTTTGTCAATTTCCTCGCTAGTTTTGGTAGATTTGTCGGCATGTAAGAAAAATGACAAGATCTTTATAATCAACAGTTGTTCCAACAATGGCTAGACTCTAAAAATGTAAAATAATGAGTAACCCACGAAGTGCCACTTCTTAATTCAATCGATTCGAGTAATTAAACAAAAATCTTTAATGATCTCTATTAGGTATAAAAGGTTTAATACTTATTTGGGTAGTAAGGAAGATTCATTGTTTGGGGCAAATGATCTTACATAATATCCAACAGTTTACAATCTGAGCAAAGCAGGGCTGTCATAGCTCAGTGAGCTGTTGGGTATTCTACTCAATTCAGAATTCTATCTTTTACCTATTCTTCTGCTAGAAAATTGTCCTCATTGTCTAGTCGCTTTGTTGTTCATATTAGTACTTATTTTGGGGTGAAAAACATTGTCATATGTAAAATCAATACAGCTGGATGCGTGCCAATTAATTTATTTCGATATCATATAGTTGGCTTTACACAGAATCGAAGCTATTATCTTAGCAAAGATGCTTTCGTTTGGACTTTGTGTTAACGGTTGTGATCGGTCAATAAAATTTCAGTCAATGCGAATTCTAAAATAATTTTACTTTATCTATTACCAAATCTCTTTATGTTTTCCTTATTTCAGTTGAGGCGAGCGGTATTTCAAGCGAGAACGGAATGGTTGATAGTTCAGCCGGCTATCGTCACCGTCGTCTCTTCAAACACCATCGTGGTTCCGTGTATGAGTGCAATCCGGGGTGCAAGTGTGATAGGCGCTGCCAAAACCGTGTCGTTCAAAATGGTCTCTGGTTGCGTTTGCAGGTCTTCAAAACTCAGCGAAAGTATATTGAATGGTCCATTACCTTATCCCCATGGCTTAAACTGATACTGATTTTCTGTCTCTTTTTCTGCATAGAGGCTGGGGTATTCGAGCACTTAACGCCATTCCAAGGGGAACTTTCATTTGTACATATGCTGGTCTTATTTACAATGATTCTTTGGCTGTTACGGTAAGATAACCTTCCTATTTTTATCCTATCTTTTTCCACATAAAGCCCCATGATAAATAAAGCTTGCTTTATAATATCTATTTTTCTCGTCTAACACATTCATTAACAGTAGGTAATCGCGAGAAGACATTGCGCTTATTTGAGCCGTTAAATCCTCATCCATTCGCTTTAGTACGTTACGTCCATGTGATTAAAAGTGTTTTTGATGTATTTTATTATTTTCGCAAGACAGTTTTACCAGTAGACTTAACTTGTCTCATTCTACCTCTTACTTTACAAGTTGGGCAAAGTTCTTGTATTAAAGAACTTGGCAAATGCTTCCTTTGCTTTTACTTCTAAGATAGTGGGGTGTGCGATAGACTTACCGCCACGTGGTGCACCCTGAACAACGCATACTCATACTGCAGAAGAGTCTATTCACTGGCAGTTGACTTCTGACCCCACTGTATGTCATATTCCACCACTTCCACAGTACTCACCTCACCTTTTTCTCTGCCTTAGTGTCTCTCTGTCTCTTTTACATCTGTGAATCATTATTCTGCTCCACCCTCTCTCGACTTTTTGTCACTTTGATGTTCCTCCTCCCCACTGTGAAGCCTGAAGTCAGCTAAAGGGCTAATGATAATTATCAAAAAGCCTGCCACCTGAAAAAACTTCTAAGATAGCAATGAAGCCCCCTTAAGTTAGACGTCATGATCCTAAGAACATTCAGCATACCACACCCCTTCTAAATTCTAAAGATTTAATTGGTAAGGAAGAGGTATGTTAGATTACTGCGAGGAATAAAGAAGGTAGAAGTACGGTACCATTCACGACTGGGGTAATGGAGTTATAAGGGTCAGCGCACGGCGTGATTGAAAATAGGTCTGTAATGAAGGGGCTAATCTTCTGTACGCTGAGTCGGATTGATTGGTTTGTACCATTTGTTCGTTTGATTCGCATCGTTTCATTATTCTTATATGAATTCATTTAAGGTTACATAAATACTAATATCGTTCCGCCACTAAGGTATCCGTCTGCTAAGTAAGAGATCGTTAGATTGATGCCCATCGATACACAACCACTGAATGGAATGACCAGTCAGTCTTGTCAAGTCTATCCAATATTGTTGTAAGGAGTCGGTTTTTTTTATTTGGGAGGTCATAATGCTACCCCTCTACTTAGGATAAATTTCCAAGGCTCGTGCCTGGAAGTGAGGTAGTTTTTGTTAACATGGTGTAATTAGTTATTTTTTTTACCACTTCATCAATCAGTACATAATGCACTATTTTATCCTTTGGTAATTTGTTTTTTACATCTTGAACATTTCTCCAGAATACGCGTCAGATATCAGCCTAATTAAGGTTCATAATTTCATTTTTTGACTTTTTGCCTTTCTCTCTACAGCGAGGTCAAACGATCGGTGACGAATACCAGGCCGATTTGGACTACATTGAGGTTGTCGAAACTCGGAAGGAGGGCTACGAAGAGAATGTCATTTTGCCGACCTCAGACGATGAGACGCCTTTGAGGCCTGCACATTTGCAGCCGTCTGTTCGCAGCTCAAGAACCGCTCGAAAGAGTAATCCTTCTCGCAACAACAGACAACGAAGAAATTCCGGATCTTCCTCTGTATCGTCTGCTCTGTCTGTGAGACCTCCATCAGAAGCCACCACAGTGGAGGTAGTCGGCGTTGACAAGTTTGAGAAGGAGGAAGAGGGAGAGGAAGAGACACGAGAGTCCGGTAAGGAAGAAGACAGACAATCTGCAACAACCTCCTCTGATTTTCAAGAGTCCAACGAGCCAATAATTCAAGCTGGCCTTCAGTTCACAGACGGCATATCAAATCTGGAGGAGATTTTGTCCTCAGTCTCCTTTAAACTTGAACCACATTTGGAACTTACTAGAGTGGGGCTGAATATTTTGAATTGTATGTCTTTTCTACACATTGGTTTGTTCGAAAATTGCAGCAGAAGAACTGTAAAGAGGGTTTATTCCCCTTCTAGGTTTTCCAACATCAATGGATTCGAGGCGGGGGAGGCCAAGATCGTTTGCACGTGGACGTAGAGGCAGAAGACCCACTTTGTGAGTAACTTAGCATTTGAGCTTTAATATTTACATTGCCGTATCTTGTGAGAAGCGATTCAGTTCATTCATGATCTCATTAGTTCCAACCACTTGCTTAGATTCAAAATCGGATAAGGACGAGTTTAGACTTTTGACGATGGAGGCGACTAAAAATTAGAAGTTCAGATTACTACTTGGAAATTGTAAATGACAAGGAGGGTGGGAGCTATACAGAACAGTCCCTTGAAGATAGTAGTGACTGATCATTAACAGCGTCTGCTGTAAGAACCATAATCTAATAATCGATTTGTTGGAGCATATCTATGGTTCAAGGGGGAATAGAATGCAAGGACGTAAATTTTGTCAAACTAGCATGACAGTTTGCAACGACTAAGAGGAAGCAACATTTTTTTTCAAATGTGTGCTCTCTTTTAGCGTATAGGATTGTGATCAAATATATTTCACGTAAATGCTTCCAATTGGTTCAATCTACTCCCGCGACAAGCTTTCTGATAAGTGCCTCCATACAGGCTTGCGAAATTGCTTAGCCCACTTCCAATACCAGGAAGGTTAGGAGGAATATATTTTGCTGTTTATTAACCAACGGGATTTACACAACTGAATGAATTGAGGTTGTAGTAATACCTATGACAAAGCGAAGTGCTGGTTTAAGCCAGGTAACCTATGTAATCACGATGGTGGGTTAAGCAACTCCATGATCTTTTGTAGTCTGAGACGGATATTTTCTTCTACTGTTGGGTAATTCAGTACTGGTTGATGATACACGAAATTTCCTCTTGTGCACGCTCTATACTTTAGTGCAATTTCCAACTAAAAACCATTAAAATTAACCTCCAATCAAATGCTATTTAAACTTGGAGAATATTTATTTTGGATGGCCGTGGTTTTGTAAAAAATGCCACTATTTTATAAGTTACAATCACTCAGAATATAGAGAGGTATTAGTACTCCAAGTCTGGGTGTATGCTCGCATAATTTAGAGGTTATTTATGCTGCTGGATTGTGTTGTGATTGGTCAGGGAATATTTAAGTAATCAATGCTGCTGTATTATCGATTTGGCAGAAGATGATTGTTTAGACGGCAAATCGGATCGGTTAATGGCGGTTGACCTGTTCCTATATTTCCGCAATGATAATGATACGGTGATTTTACTCCGAGCCATCTATCAGAGCAGATATCAAGAACACGGATTCGTAGTTTCGAATGATTGGATTCAAATAAATAAAATTTTCTTCCTAAAGTTGTTCTGTATTTTAGTGGTGCAAACAGACGGGATTCACGTGTTGGGTCTACGTTGGGGGACATGATAAAATCTGCGTCCAATGCTGATCTCGTCCTTTCTTCCACCCAACCAGAAGGACTTAGGAAGTTAGTTGAAACTTTGCTTTATATTGAAGTTAACGAATGCCGAAATTGAGGGAAAAATATGCTACTGTAAAGAAGGCGCTTGAGTTTTGGTGTTTAATTTGCGTGTTAAGGAGAACTATCACCTATCGCCTTCGTTCTTGTAACTCCTTCGGACCAGAGTCTATGAGAAGGATGAGAATTGTTTGGAAGCGCTATGGTTGAGCGCATTTGAAAGATTAGCTGTTACCTCTTCTTTCCTTATACCCTCTGGGATGGGCATCTAGTCATTCCAGGTTCAACACTATGCACATCCTAACTATAATCAGGGAGGGCCGCAAGTCAGGAGGTGGCTGAAAATCGAATGGTGATTAATGTCGGTCAGATCGATAGAAGAATTTCTCTCATGTATTCATTATTGCTAATTCGTGATTTGTCGATTAGCTTAATCTGATGCTATGCTGAGTACTGTAATTCTGTATAAGTTACCCGGTGCATTTAAAGTGAAACTGAATTAATTATCTTCAAAATGCTGTTAATCCTTTTTCCTTACCTTTTAGATCGAATTCGGCTGCCGATCTGCAGGGACGGGGTAAGTATTTTTCCACCCACTTTTAGTTCGAATTTAGTTGTGTATTCTTATTTAATATATTTCAATGTTGCATAGGTACGACACGAAGAGGAGGTATACTCAGTTATCTTGCTCTCGCATTTTCGGTTTATTTTCCAACTATTAGTGAAACTTTTCATTTCCATTTCAGATCGTCGTAATCATGCTAAAATATCCGTTGTCACGGTGTCATCAAATGACACAAAAACGGAGATAACTCAAACAATAGGGACGACAGGACCAATCCCATGGGCAAATCGTCGTAGCTATCCCATTAGGCAACCCGACTGGGTGAAAGCAAGGGAGTACTTTGGGGATGAGGGTCCCTTTGTCATGGATGCCAAGCAGGTCGGCAATCTAGGCCGTTATTTCAATCACTCTTGTCAACCTAACATCTTTGCTCAAAGTGTATTTGCTTCGAATCATGACCCTAGATTCCCCGATGTGGCCTTCTTTGCCCTGAGGTAAAATTTCGCAACTACTTATTCGATATTATGAAAACTATATTTGTGCTAACTAAACACTTTGAATCCTTCTAACAGAAATATTGAAGCCGGTGAAGAGTTATCATGGGATTACGGATATGTGACGGGTTCAGTTCCTTCTAAAGTTCTCTACTGCTACTGTAATGAAGAATTCTGTCGTAAACAGCTGCTTTAGCTGTACCATCTCTCCTTGTACGTCGGCGTTTTTATACTCTCCCTAAACTGTGCATATGAACTATTTATGTTGTACATGTATTTCCCTCCCTCATCCTTAAGTTAAATCCAATCAAGCACCACGATTCTTGCCTTTTGGGCAACACTCTTTTTTAAACTTAGTCGATGTTAAAATAAGGCACTTTATTGATATGTAAATAAAACATTCCATAGTAATTGTACTATTTTGTAGAAAATGACGTTGGTGCGATAGTGCAGTTTATGCTCTAACTAACCTCTTCAAGGTTAATTAAATTTGATGCCTCGTTTATACTCGTAGTTTACACATCATTCATTCTGTTTACCGAGGTCTAGAAAACAATACGCTTTATTTAAATAAACTAGGTAGGATAAGTTACATCTGTCATACTGTATTTACTGTGTGATTATATCATTGATTTTCATATGTGAAATGCAAGAAATAAAGTTGGGAAGATTTGTATGTATTTAAAACAATGAGAATGAAAACATTACGAATTTAACAGCCTCTCAAAGTGGTCAAAAGATCCAGAACTAAACAAAGATACAATTACCCAAAGGGCAACGTCTATTTTATTGAAAAATTAAATAAATAAATAACATCCAGCAATCCTTTAACGTCCGAATTATTTTTTTGAGGAATGCACTCATGCGTGTCTCGCGGCAGGACTGACCCCAACGTGATGAGTTTTGGTAGTGTCCAGCACGGGCTATAGACGTATTGCACGAGTTTCGAGCGGTAACAACGCCTTCTGTTACGAGGCTAATACCAGTGCAGTCTACTATGAGAGAACCGAACAGCCATAAGGGTGTTAAGGGGTAATAGGTATTTGACAGAACGATTTCCTGTGAAGCATAGTAAAGAGATTCAACTATGTTAAATTAATTTTCTGTACCCAGTTGGTAATTTGTCCATTTTCATTAAACTTTGTTGTAAAGCTTATTTGACTAGTTACAATTGTGAAACATAATATTTTAAACAACGATGAGTCACAATTAACTATTAGCCCATTAATTGCTGCATAAGTGTTATTTCTGTAAGGCAACGGCAATACCGACTGTTTTTACTGGCAAAATCAAGGCCAATTGTGAAGACCCCACGCCTCCCAATAAAAGTCTTTATCATCAGATTATAAGAATGTATGTTTCAGTAAGGCCTGACCACCTGATATTACTCGCCATTTCCATCCTTATTTTATATATCTTGATTAGAATATGTAAAAATTAGCAATTGAACTTACATAGAAGGATTAATAATTAAGAATATATGTTTTCGTTTTTCAAAATGTGCTTACTTAATTGTTGTGGTATTGAGGACCTAATTATCATTTAAATTTTACTGATATTTCATCGTATATTTTCTAAATTAAAACTCTGCTATCCGGGATGAACTTAAATTTACATTACAATTAATATATAGCGTTGAATTTACATATACAATTATAATAAAATGAAAATATTTAATTTTCAATATCTCTATTATTCAATAAAAATCATTAACTATAATGTCGCGCTTTGAGAAATCTTATAATAAGAATTAGATATAAATAAAACTATTATTTTAAATATAAGTAGTTCAAAATGGACATTTTAAACTGTTATTTATTGATTTTCATTTCTAATAACAAGTTTTAAATTTAATTTGTTTATATTATCAAATTAAATTTAACATTAAGCAAAGCAACCTTGGGGTTATTTTTAATTTAATATAGAACCTCTATAGCTGATGCCTCTTGCTGGAGGGATCCCTGCACCCACCATAACGCCGTTGCGACTGTGTGTTTCAGGGAAGGCATCAAATAATATCGATACTGGTACATTCATCGAGTTGGGAAACGGTAGGAACTTTATATAATTAATGATATTTGTAAAGTTTAATTTAATTTGCATTTGAAATCTTAAATTTTCTAGAAAATCCGAATTGCAATACGTATTTTACCACAAACGGTGAGACGCCAAATCCTTCTCATCGAATTTTTGGTGGTAAAGAGGTAACTTTTCGTTATCGTGCTCCATTCCAACTTAAAGCCGGTCGCCGAACTGTCAAAGCAATTGCCGTTCATAAGTAAATAATATTCATGTGTATAATTTTTAGAGTGAATAGATCTGAAAGCCACGTTGTAAGCAAGACTTTCAACGTTACTGAACTTACTCATTCCGGTAGTAGCGGTAGTGTTTCAGGTGACGATTACCCCACCTCGATTGTTCCCATTCATAACGACGCTGCAAGTTCTATGGACGATTCACTGGATAGTTTTATGAGAAGTAATTGTCCTAAATTCCTTATAATTATTTGATCAGAGAACACCGATCAGGGATTCGCTGCGACTAACCACTCGGGCACCCAAATAAATGTCTATGGAAGTGTACCGGGTGTTGGTTGGGATATGAAAACCCCAGATGGAAATAATTTTTCCAGCAATTTTTTGCCGCCTCTACATTCACAACAGGTTTACGCTCCCTTGATGCAACAAGAACCAGGAGTTACACAGCATCAACTTACTGCTGTAGTTAACCATTTGAATCAAGTAGGTTATTGACAAGTGGGGAAATGATAAATGCTGATTTATTTTAAGACTATCAAGTTCTAAACTTAACTAAAATCGCTAACAACTACTAACGTTCAAGACATTAAACAATGCAAAGTTAAACTTTAAATTGAAAACAAATTTTGGAATATTATTTAATTGTGAATTTGGAAGCATTTTTATGCACTTTAAATTATAAATAGGATTTTTAAATAATAAATCGCATTGAATTATTTAAATCTTTTATAAAAATAAGATTTGACTCGAGTGTTTCACTTTTCCTTTATCATTGTTAAGAGAATAGTAAATAAAAAGTGCTTTCAATGGAAAAGTTATGATAAAAATGCTTTATGCAATATCGAATTTATATATGAACTTGGCCCAACGGTGGCTTTTTGTCAGAATGAATGGAGATTTTAACTAAAATAAAATATTCGTCTTTGGGCTACATTTTTAATCGATTTTGAAGACAAAAATATAAGCAAACTCACCTTGTTGTTTGAAAATATAAAGTTCATATTTGAAAAATATAAACTTAAAGGTTAATTATTGCCTCACACTTTTTATTCATTAAGTACATCGATCAAATGCGACAACGGACAGTAATTGAGGTTCGTGAATCCCTTTCTCAAGCAGTTGCCCATATCCTGAAGTCCATTCCAAAGCCCCAACTAATTCCCCAGCCCGCACCAACACCAGCTGTTGAGTACCCTACATACTTGAAGGGTCCCCTGGGTCAAATCATGCAACAGTTTAATTCCTACGCTACCATCAGTTCGAATATTCTCAACGAGCTTTGTGGGTCTGATGTCGGCAAGGTATATTTATGGAATAAAATTCTATTTTTTCCCAATTCGATACACCCAACCTTAATAATTGAGGAGGTAAAAGGTGGAACTTTACTCACAAAAGAATAGTAGTTGGGGGGTGGGAGAAATTTTATATTTTTTATAGCATATGACAGGCGTTTTAATAGTTATCATTAGCCCCTTAGTGAATTTCGGACTTCACTGAGGGGAGGAGGAACATCAGAGTCATAGAAAGTCGAGAGGGGGGAAAGAAAAGCGATTCACAGATGTAAAGAAGACAGACACAAAGGTAGAGGAAAAGGTAAGGTAAAGTGAGTCCTTGGAAGGGGTGGAATATGGCATACAGTAGGGTCATGGTAGTCAACTGCCGGATGAGTATACCTTGCCCAGAGTGCACCACGTGAGGGTGAGTCTATTGCTCATCGCCATTTATATTATTTTTGTGCAAATTTGTCAAAACGGTTGTCAGGATTTTGACACCCATGATCAGCCAAAATGCTTAAGCTTTTTCACTAGAAAGAAAACGCTTGAAAGGCTCTAGGCTGGTATTTTATACCCAAACCACCTTACAATTAATAAGCTGATCCTCCATCAAAATGCATCAAGAGAAAATAAAGTGGCTTATGGAATTTGATTTGTGACCTAAAACTCGCTGTCCGAATCCCTTCTGTTTGAAAAGTTTCAGGAAACGTGTATGCTTGTCTGACAGTTTCCTAGTCAGTGAGGGTATATCACAAATAATCCTTATTTTCTTCCACTGA